TTTTGAAAAGGCAAGCGGTAGGCAACAATGAATTAATACGTGGTCACTGTCAAAGAGGTCCTTTTTTAAAGCAACAGAAAGAGGAGCAATGTCACTGGTAAAGATTTGATCTAAAATGTGATTATCTCTTGTTGGAGAGCGCGCCAGTTGGGACCAATTAGAAAAATTGACAATATCTTGAAAGGGCTGGAATCTGGGTGGACAGCTATTGGAAACCCAGCCAATTTCAGGAAGGGTAAAATCGCCAGTGATTATTTTAACATCGAAAGCAGCTTCCGAAATTAATTTAAAGATTTCACACAGTGTTGAGAATCATCACTGGCTAAAGAATTTGGGGGATTGTAGATACAGCCAATAATTGCCTTTCTTTGCGGCGAGAGAATAACAGATGCAAAGCAGAAGTTTCCCGTGAATGAGGAAACATCCAAGTAATAGGGAGAGTGCTTTAGGTAGGATTTAAGATAAAGAAGACAACCACCCCCACGCCTAGTCGTGCGGTCTTGGCGGTAAAAATCGAAGTCATCTATGAGAAGGGCAGAGTCAGGAATTAGAGAATGGTTCCACGATTCTGTTACACATATAATATCAGGTGTCATTTCTAGAGCAATGGCTCTGATTTGTTCCATCTTGTTTATAACTGACCTGGCATTCAATAATATAATATCTAATGTGTTTCGAATGGCAATGCTATTTTCGACGGTATTTAAAAAAAAATTGGAGGTGGATATGTAAGCTGTGAATTAATGACACTTGGAGAATAAGTACCAGTTAATTTAGAGTTATTGACGTACGGGGAGTCAGCAAGAGAAGGCTGAGTATGAGACCTAAAGGATGTGGGGATATAGTTTTCAAACATTGAAATGCTAGGGGAGTTAGAACATGGATAGACTTGTTGGTAGTTAAATAGTGGAGGACGGGGAGGAGGAGGGAGGCTAGAAAGAGAGTAGGGGCTAGTGGGTGAGGGTAGGCCGCTATAAGAATGAAATGGTGGGAAACCAGGTCTAGGTTGGAAGTCAAAGGAGATAGGTTGACGTACCTGAGAGCAATTGGCCTTAAGTGGTGGGAAGCCTGAACTAGGTTGGGGCATAAATGATTTAAGGCAATTCATATATGAATTATTTGCTGGATATAAAGTAGGGCTTTGATAGGTAACCTGTACGCAGGACAGAGAATTATTCGGGGATATAATTGGAGCTGCGGGGTTTGTAGACGTGCTGGGCTGAACAGACTTGTTAGATCTAAGAGAAGGCGTCGTACCCCTTAATGGAACTGTGCTGCCTATCTTTTGGGTCGGAGTCTGATTCAATTTTCGAGTCTCACCGTTCTGACACCAAGCCACTGGTGACTTAACTGTAGACCTTACAGCACCCAGTTGGACAATAGAAGTTATCGGTCTAGCTGAGGTAGACGGATTTTCATGTGTCTCAGCGGGACTATCCGGAGGATACGGAACCACAAATGAGGCTGCTGCTGCTGCTGCTGTTGCTGCTACTGCTGCTGCTGCTGCTGCTGCTGCTGCTGCTGCTGCTGCTGCTGCTGCTGCTGCTGCTGCTGCTGCTGCTGCTGCTGCTGCTGCTGCTGCTGCTGCTGCTGCTGCTGCTGCTGCTGCAAGTTTAGGGGCAGGCAAATGCGTCAAGTGGCTTGAGTGAGATGGAGATGTAGGAGAAAGAGGAAGGAGGGAGGCAGATGTCGCAGGAGTATGAGAAGCTGAATCCTTACGGCCACTTGTATTATGACCGAGTTGGGGAGCATTAGACTGAGAGGCAGTGGGTTTACGTGAGAATAGAGACCCGATTCTACGCTCCATAGGAGTAAGATCATGACAAAGGAAAAATTTTTCCTTCTCTAGGTACGCAGTGACACGCTCTCGATGGGCAAAGATTGTGTCAACCTCGATTGATGAAAACAATTTGACTAAGATGGGTGGATTTTTGCTAGGGGAGGACAAGCGTTTGGCATCGGCTATTTTGTAGTTGAAACCACATGAATACAGGAAATTGGTCGCAACATCAATTGGCCGAGCAGATCGAAGAACATTTTTAGCAGGAAATTGTAAGAACACTTCTGTCTATCACTAGATTCACTGGCAATCAGGTGAACAAGTGAGTCGAGACGCCTACATTCTTCAGAGGGAATATCGGAGATGTTCCCGTCGAATAAATGTCCAAGAATAGTCAGCAAAGAGCCAAACTTTAGCATAAAGTCATTGCAGTGGTCAAGTGCAGACAGATTAAGCTGCCGACCAATTACAACGGGTGACGACTGACTAGTAATATCATCTGACTTAGATTTAGGTAAAGCTTCTGACTTACGTTTAGTTAGGCCATGCTTACTTACAAGAGCCGGGAGCTTACGTCGACCAGTGACTTTTGGTCTCATCTTGTCTCGGGGCAATTTGTGATTAAGAAAACTTCTGGCAGACAAGTTGACTGAATTTCAGCAAGGGGCTAACGATGTAAAAATAAATTACAACAGTTAGAGAGAAATCGGATGCACAAAATGAGGATTGCAGAGTGAGATTAGTGAACAACGGGAATAGACTAGCAGAACTCAAAAGGAGATGGCAGCAGGCAGTTCTAAGAGAAGAGGCCTGTAGTTAAGGAAATTCGACCAAAAAACAGGTACTAAAATCGTTAGGTCTCACAGAAAAACCACTTACAATAATATCCTCCACTTATCTTCAAATTTAAAACCAGCGGCTTGACCTTGGGAGCGTAAAAATTACTTTTTCAGATTGTAACTCTCGGAAAATTTGTTAGGGGAAATTGACATTCAAATTTCCCCGACCTGGTGCTCACTCGAGATGAGGAGAGTGTGCTGGATTTATAAGGTTTCTCGCCAATTGGTACTAGTGATCATATTGCAACGCTCATTGCCTACCCTAATGACCCGGACCATTGGGAACAAATATCTGGAGGGGTATTTTTCCAGCACTCGAACGCAAATCTCAACAACACTGTGGACAACCACATTACAGGGAACAGTTGACGACTACTGGAGCATATTTAAATTTTGATTGATAATGTTTGATAATTTTATTTAATGCCAGTTTACAGGCATTGTTAAGGGAAGCGTTAAGCACAAATCCGACCATCAGGGAAAAAATCCTGAGGTAAAGGAATAAAAATATACTTGATAGTGGTTTTTATGGTTTGGAGGGTTCAGGAGAAAAAAACTGCTGGCGGTTAATTTTCGACCGTCAAGAAGGGGGGGAGGGGGTTGCACGGTATCGGAGATTATCGGACGTCAATTCCTTTCATGAAGTTGGGGATAGTCAAAGTAGAGGCGTTGAGGAAAAGCTGTCGCTTTTGGCTAAAGAAATTGTCCATGATGAGACAGGCCATAGTGTTCAGAGACCACAAATTCCATCGCTACGGTACAGTCGATCAGTGGATTCAGCACCCAAAATTTGTGGGAGCTTTTCTGAATGAAAAAATCTAGTAATAGTTCTCTTAAATAAAGGATAATTTTGCAGATTTTTCACATTCCTGGTAGTTTATTCCAAATAGCAATTGCATTTACAGAAAAGAACCGACGATATTTAACAGTACGTGCCAGAGGAAGTGATAAAAAGACCTCACGGTGACTGTTACGTCGTGGGTGGACATGGTGTCTTAAAGAGGTGAGTGGGTTAAATTTGTGATTATATAAGAGCTTAAATAGCAAAAATTGTCCCTTTTGTAATCTACGGAACCATAAAGTATCAAGGCCTGTAAGCCGGTAACGTTCTTGATAAGACAAATGCCGGTGTTCCGGGGTTGAAACTCTCTTGGTAAAAAAGTGTTGAACGGATTCTATCTTTTTCCGCTCAGTAGCACGCATGAGGCTAAATAAAAACGAACCGAAGCGTTGGTTAAAAGCAACATTGATCTAAACTGATCACTCGGAGGAAAAAACCAACAACCGTCCGCCGTAGATAAAACAGGAACTACAAATTGCCTTTAAAGGAAGAAAAAGAGTGTGAAGACGGTTTCGACTAGCGGAGAGTTCTGAACACTTGCAGGAATATGAACGACAGATAGATGTGTATAAAAGTGAGGCTAATAGACTTTGAAGGAACTATGGGCTAAGTATATTGCAGAACTCTTTGGAGCATCCTAAGACCCTATACGGTTACATACGTAGTGACAAGAGAAATCGTGACCCGATTCCGGAGCTGAGGTCCCAAAGCGGGGAAATGGAGACGGATGACCAAATGGAAGCATCAGTCTTCTCCAGCTTCTCTCAGTCCACATTCGCCCAAGAATTTAGTCCCCCTCCTCTTCCCCAGATAGAATTCATCCACTTACCCTTCGAAGATAGCCTGACATACTGTGCGAGCCGGTGTCTATGACATTTCAAAAGCCCATGGAAGAAGGCGAACTGCCGGTGGAATGTAAAACTTCCTTTATTTCCTCAATCTACAAAGGAGGGTCCAGGCTGGAGTCTTAAAATTACCTTCTTATTAGTTTAACCTGCCTTGTGTGCAAGGCTACGGAACGACTTATTAAGGGGTGTTTAGTGACGTCTCTGGAGCAGATGAACTTAATATGTGGTGCTCAGAACGGATTTCATAGAAGTCACTCATGTCTTGCCAATACTCTTCGCCTACATGAAAAGTAAACAAAAACCACAGATCAGGCCCGTTTGGCTGGTGTCATGCTTTAGACTTCGGAAAGGCGTTTGATAACGTGCCTTATGGACGACTGCTACGGAGGATTTGGCAACGTGGAATTTAGGGCAACATTTTAGGTGGGTAAATAGTTTCCTGTCGCATAGGTTGCAAAGAGTGCTTGTTGCTTACACTGCCTCCGAACGAGTACCAGTCGAAAGCGAAGTTCCACTGGATTCAGTCTTGGGTACCCTCCTCTTCCTCATCTATCTAGACAACTGTACTGCAGATCTGGACTGCGATGCCATCATGTTTGTAGATGATTTAAACTCTACGAAACAGTCGGCTGTGCTGACGGCGCACGGAATCTGCAAGAAGACGCTGATAATCTAGCTCCAAGGTCCAGCAAGTGGCTTCCGACGTTTACTGTATCCCAATGTGCAGTCTTGCGCTGGGAGTCTGGTCGAAGACGTTTCCCAAAACACCGGTAAACTATAAGTGGGATTCCCTTAAAAGAAGTGAATGCGCACAAAGACCTGAATATCTGAACAAGTCCAAGATTGCTGCCCTCCCAACACTGCAAAATAGTCATCCGAAACGCAACCAGCACCATGCACTGGATTGGGCGTGCTTTCGCAGCCTTCCCTTCCGAACTCTTCGCTCAGATATTTGGTAAGTTCGTCAAACCGCATGTGAAACACGGAATGCCAGTATGGACGCCCTGAACGAAGAAAGACAGCAATGCCATCGAGCAGAAGCAACGAAGGGTGAAAGATCTGGTGGACGGTCTTGGGACTCGGTCACATGCTGAAAGACTGATCCTGCTCAATTTGTTCCTCCTATCTTACAAACTAATGAGGTGCAACCTGCTGTGAACATTTCGCATCACTGGTGGGCATTACGTGAGGAGAGGGACCCGATCATACGCTCCATGGGAGTAAGATCATGACAAAGGTAAAATTTTGCATTTTCTAGGTATGCAAGGACACGATCTCGATGGGCAGAGATTGTGCCAACCTCGATTGATACAAATAATTTGACTAAGACGCGTGAATTTTGACTACGGGAGGACAAGCATTGTATATCGGCTATTTTGTAGTTGAAATCACACGAATACGGGAAATTAGTCGAAACATCAACTGGCCGAGTAGATCGAGGAACATTTTTAAACAAAAGATGTAAGCACGCCTTTGTCTGTCACTAGATTTACTGGTGATCTGGTGAACAGGTGAATCAAGAGGCCTACATCCCTGAGAGGGAATATCGGAGATGTTCCCGTCGAATAATTTTCCAAGAATTGAGAGCAGAGTGACAAACTTTAGTACAAGATCCTTGCAGCTGTCAAGTGCAGACAGATTAGGCTGTGTACCAGTTACAACGGGTGACGACTGACTAGTAATATCTTTTGACTTATATTAAGGTAAGCCTTCTGAATTAGATTTATTTGAGTCTTCTGACTTAGATTTGGTTAATCCATGCCTGCGTACAGAAGTCGAGAACTTTCGCCGACCTGTGACTTTTACTCTCATATTGTCCCGAGGCAAGTTGTAGTTAAGAAAACTTCTGACAGACCAGCTGACTGAATTTCAGCTAGAGGCTAACGGTGTAAAAATAAATTACACAGTTAGAGAGAAATGGAATGCACAAAATAGGAATTGCAGAGTGCGACTGAGGATCAAAAGGCATAGACTAACAGAACTCTGAGTGCATAGGCCTGTATTTAAGGAAATTTAATCAAAAAACAGGGGCTAAAATCGTTAGTTCTCTCAGAAAAACCACTTAAAACGATATCTTCCATTTCTCTTCCATTTTAAAACCAGCGGCGTGTCCTTCTTCGACAGTGTGATATTGTCTTGTATTTTGTTCAAACTGAATTCCAATTATACTAACATTTCAACATAATTCGTCTTCTTAAGATACTCTGGTGGTAATTCTTTTGCTGTGTGATCCCTTTTGGTTGTGCTTACTTCTCGTCGGAAGAGATCGTCGGTTTCTTTGAAATCGTTAAATGCGTTATCTTGTTCTTCAACACTTGGTGCCGCTGTGGGTGATTGTGGATGTTCTTCTCTTCTTAATATGTGGTGTGACCAATGTTTCCTCTTCTGAATGTTCAAATTATTCACTCCAATTTTAACCCCTTTATCCCCTTCTCCATATCCAAGAATTTTCGGTGTGATATGAAGTATGCTGCACAGGTTTCCTTTTCGTACTTGACATTCATCAAAACCATTAGGCTCTTCGTCCGCTTGATACATAGTTTGATTTCTGAATAACCAGCACTGAATTCTTTTTGACGACGCCCGGTGCTTACTCATTTATTTTTCAGTCTCCGCTGTGAAGCAGTCATGTGGGGCATCATCGCTCGTCTCGCCACCCGGGGCCGTGGTCCGAAACCCAGTGGGGCAGACTTTTTACACAGTGTCCTAAGTGTATATTTTCGATTCGCATTGCTACTTCGGGGAAATTTTGGAACTCCTTGAAAGGTATAAGTGGAAGTATTTAATTAAGTTAACTGCATGAAGCAAATATCCAAACGACTCAGCCGTCCACTGAGCTGATTGCGAAGATGCAGTCAGGAAGAAATTGGTTCTTCCTGCGGGCTTTCCGCTGCAACCTCCTGAGGGTGAACGTATTTTGAGTCGAATCCTATTTATAGGACTTTCGGTTTACAAGAGGGTCATTTAGACCGAAACCTCGGAGAAGCTAAATTTCACAGAACTCACAAACCTAAAACCAATATTTTGAGACAAGTCGTAAAACAAAGAAAAGTGGCAAATTTGCAACGGTCACACTGGCCACCTTCTTTTTTATATTTAGCTCACTTTTATTCAACCCTTTTACCTGTACCTGGAACTAGATTCTTTGCAGGGGGTCGATGACTACTCTGAAAAAACCGGGGAACCATCGACATGACTGCCATGTTCCGGTAAATACAATAAATTTCAAGAACTGGGAATCAGCCTTTACGCGCCGTTGTGGTGTATCGGCAGAAGAATCTGGTGGTAGCACATACGGGTTAACGTGAATCAGTGGGGATAAATCCTGACCTAAAACGAACTGAAAAGAATTGTTAGACACGTCAGTATCAGTATCAGTATATTTCAGGGAACGTAGGTATGTACCTTTGAAATCCCTATTGGTTACATGCAGAGGATATATATGGAGGAAATGGAAAGGAAGTAACATGAAAAAAATGCGAGGGGAATAGCAAAAACTGTACAGATGAACACAGAAAGCCATGCGTTAACAGAGTTTAGAGGCACATTAACTTGCTTTGTTGATCAAATACAGCGGACACTTGAGGCACACTTAAGACACGGGAAAAGAAGTAAAATTGCTTAGTCTACAAGCATCGTGGTGAATGCGAACAGCGGTATGCGACGTGGCCCAAGCTTAATAAATTACATAAATATATATTACTTAAACGTCGGTAGTAGCATCGTTATAACAGTAAATTGTCAGCGTTGGCTCTCAAGGTGGGCGCAGTCCGGCGTTATTGTGGTGCGCGCTACAATGCTGATCTAGTCTCCATTTAAAAGTATCTACCGAGCCCGACATAACAACATCCTCGGGCAAGGCATTCCAAGCTGCAACCACTCTGTTGGAGAAGAAGAACTTTCGGGTGTCTTGCCGGGCACCAGCCACACGCAGTTTGAGTGGATGGCCTCTCAGGTTAGTCGTAGTCGCCAACTCGAAGAAGTCTCCAAACGCGAGGCAGCAGCCCTGATTGCGCACGATGCGGAAAGCTTGTATCAGGTCCCCACGTAGCTGTCTGTAACTCAAAGGAACGAGGTCAAGATTAGCTAATCGTGTTTCGTAGGGTAGTGACCACTGCCCAGATACAAGTTTCGTTGCTCGCCGTTGAACTTTTTCGAGTATGCCCAAGTCTTTAGCGGTCCAGGGTCGCCATTCTTGGATAGCAAACTCCAGATGCGGTCGCACAAAAATTTGAAAGACCTTGGCGAAGCAGTCTTCATCAAAGGAGGAGAACGCCCGTTTGACGAGGTATAGAATGGACATCGCCGACTTGGCCACCTTTGAACATTTTAGTGAAGTCCTATGCGAGGTTGTAATCCATACACCCAAGTCCTTCTGGGCGTCGACTTCTTGCAGGGGTTTGCCAGTCAGACGGTAGACCGTGTGGTTAGGGGAACTGGTTCTGCCGACGCGTAGGAAAGTACACTTGTTTACGTTGAACGGTAGAAGCCAGTCTTTCGACCATTGAGCAAGGTGGTCCAGATTTGTCTGCAGTCGCGCCTCGTCAACTTCGCTTCGTATGCTACTCCAGATCTTTATGTCATCGGCAAACATTGCGACATCGCAATTCAGTTCGTTTGCGCAGTCATTGACGTATACGAGGAACAGTGTAGGACCAAGAACAGAGCCTTTTGGAACACCACTCTTAACGGCAACCTCGGCAGATTGTTGGTCACCGACGTGGACGGCTTGAGAGCGGCCGATTAAAAAGCTCCGAATCCACATCAGAAGCTTACCTCGCACTCCTGCACGGCTAAGTTTGTATAGAAGGCGGTGGTGAGGCACACTATCGACGGCCTTTTTAAAGTCGATATAGATGGCATGCACCATATCTCCTCTATCAACAGTCCTAGTCCAGTGTTCCAGACAGTAGAGCAGGTTTGTCACACAGGATCTGCCTTTTCGAAATCCATGCTGAGAATCGGAAAGCAAATGGTTTTGTTCAAGGAACTGCGTCAGTTGTTGCTTTATTATCTTCTCCATAATCTTACAGCAAATGGAGGTGAGGCTGACCTGTCTGTAACTGTTCGCAGAGACCCGACTTCCGCCCTTGTACAGCGGCGTAATCCACGCCGACTTCCAGTCGGGTGGCAGATATCCGTTCTCGAAGGATGTATGGAAAAGCATGTAGAGTGGCTTAGACAACTCACCGGCGAGTTCCTTCAAAATCTTCGCCGGAATCTCCTCGGGACCTGGTGATTTGGATTCTTTTAGCCTCAGCAACTCCGTCAGAACCATACCCTCAGTGAACTGGACGGTCTCTATAATTGGGGTGTCTTCGAAGGATTGAGGGGCCGAAGGGTTGAATCCTGTTTCGCTACTAAAAACAGACCGAAAAAATTCTGAAAGGTGATCAGCTTTCGCCCTGTCGTCAGTGAGATGTTCACCTTCAGCAGTCCTTAGCGGGGGTATTGGGTCCTTTTTCCGCGTGCACTGCCTAATGTAACCGTAGAATAATTTAGGGTTCTCCGCGGCACGGTTAAGCAGATCCCGTTCGAATTCCTTTCTTGTTTTTCAGGATAAGACCCTTGACTCGATTTCTTTGAATTTTGTACGAGCATATAGATGTGGGGCTCCTGTCAGAAAGCGATTTTTTCCACAGCCGTCGTTTTTTTTCACTTCATTCTTCAAGGCTTGCGTAAGCCATCGAGGTCTGTTAGTTAACCTCTTCCGTGAAAGCGGACAGTGGTTTACGATCAACTCGTGTAGAATTTCTCGGAACCGTTGCCAGTCTTCGAGTATGCTCCCAACAAATATGGACTCCCACTCAATGCGTGAAATTTCAGTCCTCATTTGGTCGAAATCCCCGCGCCAAAGGTTTCTTCTCACTGTCCCGGGTTTCTTGGGCATGGAAAAAAGCGAATAATCCCATAGAAGAACGACGTGGTCACTTTTACCTAAGGGGGGGTAGGCATGACGCGGCGTACCAATCCGGCCCAGACGATCTCAATTGTGAAACCCGTATACAATGCCATATGCAAGCCAGTCCTGTCTGACCCACATTCGTACCCATCAAGGCTGACATTTATTGCTACCCTGACGATGACCGACAACATTCCGTTATATACCGCCACCTCCAGGCCAGTCCTGCTCGCTTTTTTCTGTCATTATTTTTATTGAGGGGTTTTTTTTCTCCTGTAAAATTAATCCAATCATTTTTAACTTTTTGTAAGGAGTTTTTTTTCACCCCTCAATCATAATGTTTCTCAATGGACTTCTAATTCAGAAACTATGAATTGCATTCTGTAAAGATTCTGCCTACCTCGTCTAAAACTCGCATGTAAATTTATTTTAACCTGCTTTGATGGGACCCCGAAGGGTCTTTAATAAAAATTATTTATCTATCTATCTATGAAACCTCATCAATGCTGTCCTGTGACTTCGTAAGGACAAGATCAAGGCAGTTGGCTTGTTGGCCTTCGCGTACTCTAGTTGGTAACATGACGTGTTGAGTGAGAAATAGCTTCAGTGCCGTGTTCAGAAAACTCCTATCGAAGGTCTGTTCTGAGCCATTTGCATGGGTTGAGCTCCAGTTAATATGGGGCGCGTTAAAGTCGCCCATGATTAGGATATCCGGCCGCGTAGCGAACTTTTCGAGCTCCTCCAGCAGGCGAGCGTCGGCCATGTTGTCCCGTCTCGGCGGTCGATAAACTGTCAGGACATCGAGGCTAGGCGAGCTCGGCACTTTAATAGACAACCAGATTGCCTCGGAACTGCACGAAAAGTTATCGGTCTTGTCTGATACATTTAGCCCATTTTTACATACGTGAGTACGCCTCCTCCCTGACGCCCTTCCCTATCCCTTCTAAACATCTGGTAGCCAGGCAAGGCCAGCTCACGGTCGTCCATGTGTTGGGTCAACCAGGTTTCTGTTAGAGAGATTACGTCAGGGGATAGGTCGCAGAGGTGGATCTTCAGTTCGTCGAACTTTGATAGCAAACTCTGCACGTTGGTGTACAAGAATTTCAATTTCCGGCTGACGGAGGATGTGGTTACATTTGGGTTAGCGCCTTCACTTAATATGTCGGCTGCGCGGTCATTCGGACAGGACCTGTCCAAAGAAAGAGTGACGGACGCCGCCGTACTTGGTTGTTGTATATTACTAAATTGTTCTCCCCCTCGCTGAGCCTCTTTCTTAGTTCTAGGACTAGCTGACGACGTTTGAGCCGTTCGGCTGGCGAGTAGTCCGGTTGAAAAAAAAACACCTGGGTTGGAGCCTTTAATCCTGAATCGCCTGGAGTAAATGAGACTGGCTTGGTCGCTGCTGGCCAGCACAACTTTTAGACCCGGGGGACGAGTGGACATTGATGGATTATCTGCTCGTTTTCCAAGGCGGAAGGCTTTGATCACTTCAATAGCCTCCGTGGGTTCCAAAATATTATTGAGAAGACCTTGGAAGAGTGATAGGTCTTCCGAAATTCGCTCCTTGGGAGTAATTGCACTTGATTCAGGGAGGCCCTGAATAATAAGACATTGTTCTCTATCGGTCTCTTTTTTATTTTCTACGGAATTGTGGTTCCCTAAATGACGTAACGCTCTGGGACTACGCGCTGGTGATGGTGGAGCAGATGCACTTACGCTGTCTGTTTGTTTGACTCTTATGTTGACAATCTTGGAAGAAGCACTTGGCAGAGAAGACTGCGGAGAGAAATCTGTGGCTGTGATGGATGAATCGATTCCACCGCTCGTACTAGGTCTATCAAGCTCGGACTGTTTCTGATAGTCAGCAAAGGTGTTTGAACACACAGCATTTGTCATGAGGGGCGGAGCATCTGTCAATGTCTCTGCTTCGGCCGCTAAAGAGGCATCTTCCGGAAGTAGCCGTCCGTTTTCCTCGGCCATTTTACAGTTGGACTTCTTTTTCTTTTCAGTTTTTGGGTTGCCTTTCTGGTCGTTATTTTCTCGCTTTTTAGCTATTCCTTCTGGGGCCGCTGTAATAGGTGCTGGCGTGCCTATTATGCTGGGAGCTTTTGCCCTACTTCTGGTTACTCGTCCAGTAGACATATTGGTAGCGTTAGCTTGGTCTAGACTGCATCGCAACTGGGCTTTCATCTTTGTGATTTCTTCCTCAAGATAGTTGACCTTGGCGGCTAGAATCTGGCATCCACTGCAGCTATGGCCTGCATTTTCTGCGTCCATACAGTCAAGTAGACTATGTGATATCGCTCGCCGATGTGCTGCGGTGGCTTAGGGGTTAGCGCACTTGACTAAGCAGGGGGTGATCGCTGGATCGAATCCACACTCCAACCGCATATTGCGGACGTCAGTGCGTACTTCAATCATGCCGTGAAGTTATGGAAAAGGAGCAGGTCACAGGAATCGAAGAAAAAAAATCGTCGCCTAGGGCCAAATAGAGAAAACTGTGTGTATGGTTGGGTTTGTCGGAGAATCTCAATAGTGCAAGGCCTGGAGGTCTTTTTAGCTAAGACTTTTGGTAATATGCCAGGAGTACAAATCTAAGCAGCTCAACAATCAGTATAGAAATTATCGACTCAGCCTATAGTAGGTCCTGTTCCAAAGGTACGGTGGACAATTCGAGACGATATGAAGGATTTGTAGGCTGTGTTGGCTACGCTCCGATTGCCAGCAGAATCGTCAGGTTTGCAGAAAATTGTCCTGGTCGTACGATGAGGGCAACGATGGCAGCAAGGTTGAGGGTAGTAAGCAACAATGCTTTTCAGAATCCAATTTCTGATGCCGGACCAACTGTTTCCAGTGAGGAACTCGATTGAAAATGTCCTTCTTGCTCCTCAAAATTCAAACCGCGCGCCTTGTTTCAATGCTATCCTTACACTCATTCAGGCGACAGCGTTGAAGAAGAGTATGACGAGTACAAGTATGATAGAAACAGAAGGGAATTTGTACAAACAGTAATGGCAAATGTTACACGGAGGTATTAGTCATATTTTTGTGCTGATCCGTATCGGTGGGGCGGTGACACCAGCATACATACTACACAGACGGTGGGAAGTGCGGCGCTCTAGGTAGCTTCACGGGAGGGTTATGAAAGATGCCAACGTAGAGCGAACGGAACGATTGTTGCTAGGACGAAGTCAGTAGTTACATGGGAAAGGGCACCGGTTATTTTACCCGACACGCGATTACACCAAGCCAAGTGTTAACTCCATTCAAACAAACCACTCCAATTCGTGGGGAGTTGTAATGGACTTCACCGTAGACTCTGATACCGTGGATGGACACCTCTGAAAGGTATTGAGGAAATCAGGAGTCATAATTATCGTAGGTATCAAAGCAACGCATGCCTGCCTTCTGAGCCACTTTTCGTAGTCGAACTTATGTAAGACATGGGGAAACGCACAAAACTTAATCCTATAGATAAATGATTCCGCTCTTCAATACAATGGGCTCATTTCCGATAAGAAAGTGTCTCTCCTATGTTTTGGACCAGCCTAATAGCATCTTCATGCCCATGTGCATGTGTAGGAAAGACAAGACATTTTTTCTTAGACTGAAGCAGGGCAGTAGGTCGATTACAAAAACTACTGTGGAACCCAAACAATAATGCTGAAACAGTGTTTTTTCTATTTTTTTGGTCGTTGCTTAGCTGTTTGGCAGTTTTACGTCTTTTTTTGCATGGCTTACGCGTTGCTAAAATTTCCAAGGCAGTACTGCTTTGAAACGTGCTAATTTCATTCTCAATCCCGTTATTCTACATTCTACTTACGTTTCGCGGTTCATCTTCTTAGGTCTATGTTTAGTGCTGGGTACTTACAGTGAGTTCTAATTATCGCAGACCGGTTTCAGAGTAGCAAAACGTGCTAACCTGACAAGCAAGATCAACTTTCGTTATATTTTGCGCAGACATTTTGGTGTGTACGTTCACCTTCCTCGGACGTCTACCAGATTTTTGTACTTCTTTCCATAACATTTTCTAAAATCAACCTTTTTGCGGCAATAAAAGTCGTTAAATATATTCTTCTTGCTGTTACTTTCCAACCCTCTGCCTTTGTTGCTGAACACTCGAACAGGATGTCATGGAGCTGTCAAGTTACCCAGATTCTTGCAGGCAGATGCTGTGTCAGTCCGAAGTTTGTGGATTTGGATTCGAATTTTAAAAATATACGACTATACACCCGCGGCGTCCACGAACCACTTACCAAGCTCATTTGCAATGAGAACCAAGTTGCTTACTTGACTGTAATTAAAAGCGCCTAGCTTGAATCTCCCCGACGTCATATTCAGTGCGGTTTCTGGTCGAGATTGATTGATTCCGTCTTTGCTCAGCTGCCCTAGATGGAAAACAGCACTGATATTAGGTAATGTTTGCATGAAAATTTAAGAATAAGCATTTAGTCCCCCAAATTATCCCCTCTCAACAAACAGTGAAAATGCAGGCGACAATTCTCATGCCAGTTGCACCGCACCCTCAGCGCCCCACGGTGGCCTCTGTCCTGAAGATCCGTTTTCCTTAATCGATTTTTCTGATCCGTCTCCTCAAGCTGCGCAGCATGGTTTAAGTCCTTCCAAGGCACCTCAGGTCTCTGATACTGTGAATTGCCCAGTTCAGCCGGCCCTCAATTCGAATCTACCGGAACTAATGCAAAGTAAGCGGGAGCCTGTCAAACCTACTGGTATGAACTTCTGTTCTCGTTGATCTTTCTTAGCGAGATTTGACTCTCAGAAACAGCCCACTTCCAAACACTCATTACTTCCTTCGCGAAGTAGGGGTATTAAATCACACGGTTCTCGACGAACAAACACAACCGCTGACGCCGCTGTTGCCCAAAGAAATGATTTTTCGCACAACCGTTCCTCAACTCCAGAAAGCATTGCTTCAGAAAGTACGTTTACCCCCGCTCTTCTTTTTAAATCGAATAATTCTGACAACTTTTTTTTCTTATAAGTACGAAGAGCACAGCAGATGCCTGACCCCTTCCCCAGTGACCGTAAGTTAGAAACAGCATAAATGTCCAGCACTCCGCATGTTAAGGATGTCTTGCTTGTATTTTTGCTGTTCAGATCGACCACGGGTCATATAAGCTGGTATTCTTAAGCATTCTTTCAGTTATGCTGCCATGTGAAAAGGAGTCAGGGCCTCCTTTTTCTGCCTAGGTTCGGCTTGCCTTTATATACTCGCCGTTTGAGTCACAGTCGTTCGTTTTTTTGGGGTTTTCTAATCCGTTAATTTGGACTTCTTTCTAATGTATTTTCATGCTGCTCGACTGCTTAATTCTACTAGCAACTTTTCACAAATATGCCGTAAGAGTTTTGGAGTCCCACTTGCCTCCGACAAGTCAATAATCCGATGAAGTTAGCTCTATCATTTAGAAGATATCTGCGCAGAATACGCATCCGCTGCTTCGCGTTTTTAAATATCTTCTGTCATGCCGACAGCATATGTCGCCTTTATCGTGCAATGCGCTGGCTGCTATTGTACTTGTTTTCGTTTGAACGAGCCCAGTGAAAAGTCGCACACTTGCCTCTTAACTTTTTGACTGTTCAGTGGATCCATACACCCAGTGGTATCAGATGATGGAGCAGTATTACAAACAGTTCTTCCCACACTATGATGCCTCCAACACTAACAGCAGGGGAGTGCCTGGTCGCGGTCTTCGGGCTTCTCAAAATCCACCTCAGAGACAGCAGGCCGGACCTCAGACGGAGTGGGTCATGCCACCAGGAGCTCAAAAGCCTCCTCCCGATCCTTCGTCTGCTGACTATGCAGCCTTATATTATCAGTATTATTACGGGGCTGCTGCAGCGTTTGCTCAGAACTGGCTTCAGGCTGGGGATGAAAGTTTGAGTGCCGGTCGGCACACTCCAAAGATTTTCATCGAACCTCATATTCGCGCTAATTTACAATCTCCGGGTCTTCTTATTCAGGTTTGTCCTCGCTGGAATTCACTTGCTGTTTTGCTGTTAATGCTCCCTTTTTCTCTCAGACTTGTTTGAAACAACCTGTTTTACTACCCACACGTAGCCTCGCATTCCAGAAGCACCCGAAAAAAACTATGTGCTAACTTTAGTCCTCGCGTGGTCAAGTAACCGTGGACCACCTACCTGTAGTGTCACCATAGTCCACATTCCTGCTTCAGTTCTCGTCTACCCTTATGGATCTGCTCGTCCGGTTTACTTTCCTACGAGTAGTTTTTGCACTTTCATTTATTATTGTGTTCTTTCATTACTTGCAGAATGGTAGGATTTGTTGATTGTTTACGACGTCGAAACTTTTTCATTGAAGTATGCTGTACTTAGACAGACTCCTTGTTAGTGTTATATGATCTAGTCAATTCAGATTTGAGTGTTTCCTACGACAATCAACTTTGTCCTTTTCAGAGGCTACGCAGTCGCTCAGAAGACAACCATTATAGTTAAAATTTCATTTTCACAGAACTTCTGCCGCTATCAGAACAATTGTTTTGTCGCACACCGGATTTCACTGCGTTTTGCTAAACCCTACACTAAGATGAACCGACCTGTCCTCTCTCGTTCTGTTTGATCTAACAGGTCCTTCCAAACCGCCCGCAAGACAACGAGCCTGGACGCGTAGAGTTTCTAGACATTGGCCAGCTTGCAACGGACGTCGTTGCTGAGGCAACAACACGCCTAGCCGAGGTCTCCATCTCGAGTGCTGTCGAACAGCATCAACTCACTGATTCGGGCCGTGGTAGTCGTACTACACCGGCGGAAGGTTCGTTCGGCCTTAGTCTTTCAGCCAGTCGAGAAGACACGAGCGATGCCCAATCCTACAGCCTTCAGAACACGGAGGGCGATGAGGAAGAAGAGGATGTTAAGGAGTGCACTGCCATTATTACCGGCTGGGACCGCACCGATCATGCACTCTACCCGGGCCCACTCACGCTTAGCTCCACTCTTAAGTC